TAATTCTTAAACTAATACTTAACTCCTATATAAACTTATCTATTAGTGTTTCTTTTTTCTTTCTATAGTATAGTTACTATAATACACCTTTTTCTTAATAGAAAGAATATAAATATACTAATAGTAATAAAATAGCTAAGAAGCCTTCTTATAAAAGAGCTAAAGATATTATTTAAATAATTACCTCTGCAGTAGAATAAGTAATTACAGCTATATTATATATATAATAAGAGCAAGAAAAGTAAGTAAATAAAGCTAGAAAACCTACCTCTACTTATAAGGTTAGAGATTAGGTTTAGCTTAACCTATAAGACGTATATACTATATAGGCTAGTAAGAAGCTAGACTAAAAGAGTAAGAAGTACTAAGTATTACGCGTATAAGACCTCTACTAAGTAGAGTTAGCTATCTTCTAGGAAACTAAGTTATACTACATTAATAAGATTAGACTAGCTACTACTAATCTTCTACTTTTATAACAGACTAATAATTTAAATTCTATAGTAGTTATTATATAAAATAAAGATAAGTAAAAAAAATATTTTAAATAGTAAGTAGAGAGCATTATAAGTAAGAAAATATATTAAAGAACTAAGTAATACTTTATAAAATAAGTTAGATTTTAAGAAGCTATATAAGAACTAAAAAGAAATTTAATTAATACTATAGCTTTATAGTTTTAGCAGACTTATATATAAGCTATATAGTTACTTTTAGGTTTTCTTTAAAAAAGATAAAACTACTAGTAGTAAAAACTTAGTTATTTATATTAATAAGCTCTTTTTTAAAAGAAGGAGCCTAAATTACTAAACTACTTATATAAGAACAAGGACTAGAAAGAGCTTTTTCTCTTTTGCTATTAGGCGCTCTTCTACTAGTAAGACTATAGCGCAAACTATACTTAGTCTAGACGCAGTTAAAGTAAGCGCTATTCTACTCTCTAAAAATAAAAATATAACTAGCAAAAGTAGTAAAAAGCTTAGTACTATATACAGCGTAGGCGTAGTTATTATAGTAGCTAGTAGAGTTAAAAATACTATAAAAATAAATAATAAAAGCCTTAATATATAAGTTGCGTCTAGTAAGAATTTAGTAAGCGTAGATAGTACTATAAGTAATAATAGAAGAGTACTTATTATTACTTAGACCCTAATAACCGTTATATAGTAAGTTCCTAGTAAGATAGAGAAAGAACTTAGTAATATAGTAGATAAGAGGCTATTAAAAAGTTAGTAAAGTAAAAAAAGAGTTAGAATAAACGTATAGAAGCTATTAAAAGCGTATAATAGAGTTTATTAGCAACGTCTCTATTAAGAATATACTAAATAGAATAGTTATTTATATTAATACTACCTTATATATTAATAACTGCAATAGCAGCGTTAGGATAATTATAAGTAAGTTAGTAATAAGTAATATTCTAGAGATTAATTACAGTATTAGCGTATATGCTACTAGCATTACTACTAGTAGTAAAAGTAAAGTAGTTAGAACTATTAGCAGCTTAGATACTATAAGTAAGAGCAGCTATTATTAAGATATTATATAAGAAGTCTTAATAAGGAGTAAAAAAGTTAATATAAAAAAAAAAGTTTAAAAGAAAAATACTAGCCTTATATACCTAAGAGAGTACGCTAAAATCTTCTTTTACTATAAGAAGCAGTTAAATAATAGTAGCTAAATCTATATAAAAATCCTTATTTACTACTAAAGTAGTAGAGTAATAATAAACACTTATATATAAAAGTTAGATTTACTATAGACTCTAATATTATATTATAAATACTTTCTTATAATAACGCCTTACGTATAATTCTTAAGAGGGGGGTATTATAAGAGGCTACGCTATATTAAGTAGACTACTCTAGTTATATAATATATAGCTTAGCGCTAACTAAAGCAGTAAAGTATAAAGCCTATAAAAGGTAAGTTATACGCGTAAAGAGAACCTTTTTTTCTTTATCTTTCTTCTTCTATATATAAGACAAATATATACTTATTAGCAAGCTTCTTTCTACTCTTAATAATAAGTAAGTTTAGCGCGTACTTAGCTCTTTAGCTAAGTATACGCTTTAAGTTTTTATTATAAAACTTTTTTCTCTAAGCTAATATTCTTAATAGTAGCAGCCTTAATAAAAACTTCTTCTATTATTTTAGAAGTAAAAAAAAAGTATTTTCTACTATACGCTTTAAGTCTATTATACTTATAGCTTACTTATATTATCTATACGTAGCTTATATAATACTTATAACTAACCTTCTAGTAAAGAGTTATAATAAAAAAAGTTATAAAAGCTATTACTTTATTATAATATTATTACTTTATTATAATAAAAATTTTTTATATTATTAAAGTAAAAGTAAAAAAATTTTCTTACTTGCCTATAGTAATAGTAAATAGTTATTATTATAATATATTATTATTTTCCTCTATATCTCTTATATAATTAATACTAGTATATTATATAATATACACCTATATAGCGTATATTTATTATACACTACTTATACTTTAAAATAGTCTTCTATTTTATTTCTAAGTATATTTTAAAAACTATTTTTAAAAATACTAGTCTTTATAAGTAAAGCGCGCGTAATAAGTATATATTAAAAGTAGCTACTACGCTAACCTATATGCGCTACGTATAGAATATAGCTAATAGTAAAAAGCTCTATAAAAAGCCTAAGTAAAAGCGCTATAGCTATTATATTAAAAGTAATTATAGTAACTACTTTTTAGTAACTTTCTCTTTAGTTTTTCTAGATATTTAGACTTTTTACTAATATTTTATAAGTTTCTAGAAATATAGTTAGTAAGCTTAACTAGTTATATTACTTTTAAGCTAAGTATAATACTACTATATTAAATTTTAATAATTTTAGAATTAGTGCTATTATACTAAGTGCTAGCTCTAAGCTTACGCGTTACTAGCGCTAATTTAACTTTAAGCTTATAACTTACTACTATACTACTACTTATATAAGTACTCTTATAAGAGTCTCTACTTAAGTTTCTAAAACTAGTATAGATTATTTAAGCCTAATTCTAGTTAAGTAGTATAGAATTACTAGCGCTTTAAAGTAGATTATTAAGTATATAGCTCTTTTAGTATATACTTCTTTTATAAGTTCTTTTTTTATAATCTTTACTTACTAATTCTAAATTTATAGAATAGTATAACTAGTAAAAATAAAGTGTTTAGTAGTTCTAAGCCTAAGTCTAATAATTAGAGCGTTAGAGGCAATAATAAGTTGTAGAGTAGTAGCGCTTCTAGCTTAAGTAATAAAAATAAAGGTGCTAGAGGCAATAAAGATAGTAGTAACAAGAATAGAAGTAATAAAGATAAGAGTAGTAATAATACTTAAGTAGTTTTTATAGATTTTTATTTTTCTTATATATTTTTTTATATATATAGATACCTTAGTTCTTTTATATTAGAATTACGCTTTCTATATGCTATAAATAAAACCCTCCTATTTTTCTTTTTTATTTCTTATACTATACGCTTTAATTAAACTCTTAAATTAAATATTCTATATTTTTAAAATCTAAAGCTAGAGTCTAAGTATTCTATAATTTATTATAGCCTTTTTAGCGTAGCTAATATTATAGTTAGCTTTTTTTAATTCTTTTTTTTAAGATTTTTTTAACCTCCTAAACTTCTTTACTTTCTAGAGTAATCTTTAGTAGTTAAGTATTATTTTTTTAATTTTTCTTTAGTTTTTATTATTTTAAAAGTAATATATAAAATATATTATAAATATAATAGTTTAGTAGTAATTATAAGCAGTAAGCTTACGTTCTAACTACGCTTTATATATAGAAAGGTCCTATAAACTTACTTAATAGCTTCTTATTTAGTTAGTAAAAAACATTAATATATTTTATACTTAATAGTACTAAGTTTCTTTAGTAGAAGACTTTAGGTTTATATTTATTATTATAGTAGTAGCTCTAGTACTTTTACACTTTATATAGCTGTTCTTTTACTAATATACATACGCTATATATACGTTACACTCTATTAACAGCGTTTAGTACCTCTCTTTTAAGCTAGCTATTCTTAAGTAGTATTAAGAGTAATAAGTATTTCCTATATACTATATAGAATAGAGTTAACTTTGTTAATTTATAAACTAAGTTATTATAAGTAAATTAAGTAGTAAAGAGTAATAAAGCTTAGTTATTTTATATATCTATTATAAATATTCTTAAATATTATTCTATAGTCTAATTCTAGCGCTTTATTTGCCTATTTATTTATAAATAGAAAGCAGTACTAAGCTTACGCTTTACTTATAGCTAGTAGTAGATTTCTATTTAGAAAAAAGAAGTAAAAATTAACTTATAGTCTAATATAATACCTTTTTAAATATTATACTATAAGATAATATAATTAAAGTAAAATTTAGTAAATTACTTTATATCTTATATCTTTAAAGTAGGTATATAAATTACTATTTTTAAGAAGTAGTTAACTATTACTAGTACTATATTAAAGACGTAACTTAAGTTATTCTTTACTAGTAGTAATTTAGTAATAAAATTAAGTAACACTTCCTTAAAGATATCTCTTAGAATTAGTAGTAGTACTAGCTTACTATACTTACTATATCTTAGAGCTTTATTTTTTTAGTATACTATATAAGTCTATATATAATCTTAAACGTCTTAGCTTAGTATTAGCTAATAGTATAGCTTACTAATTAGCTTAAGCATTCTACGTACGCTAAAATAGCCTACTATATATATATTATAGTTCTAGAATAAAATTTCTTACCTAATAGCTAGTTCCTTTAGAACGTATATTCTACTATTATATTTTAGAATTTAATTTTTATTAATATACTACGCTAGCGTATCTCTATAAGCTTAAGTACGTATTAGTTAATTAAAGCTTATGCTTCTCTTTTATATAAAAGTATTCTTTTATTAGAATTAGAGTAAGACTTTTAATAACGTTTTTAACTTAGCTAATATAAGTTTATTACTAACTAGTACTCTAGCTAGTAAGTATAGCACGTATAGTATATACTCTATAGCACTAGTAGTAGAGACTTTCTTAGCGCTATATATATTAGCTATATACATCTTATACGTGCCTACTAAGCTAAGCTTAAGCGTAGATTTTTTTACTTTACTTTACTCTACTTCTACTAGAAGCTTATTTTATAAAGTAAGTAATAACTAAGTTAATAAAGTATTTTTTTACTTATAATCTACTCTTCTTAAGAGACTATCTACTAAGTTAGAATAGCTTAAGTAGTACTTTATTTTAAAATTAAAAGTACTTAAATAAAGCGCCTAGCGTATAAGTTATTATAGTTAGTTAATACTTAAATAGTTTATTACGTACTTTCTAAGTAGTGCCTCTATTATTTAAAATAATATATAATTACTAGTAACTTAAAGTTATAGACTTTATAGTTTAGCTTTATACTTTATAGCTTATATAGAATAAATATAATTAAATACTACTTACTATTTTTAAATAGCTAAGATAGTATACTAGAAATAGTAAACGCAGAGGCGTTTATTTTAAAGTAAATTATAAGTACTACGTAAAAGTAGTATAAAATAAGTATATATATAAAATAGTCTTTTAGCGCTTTAAAAGCTTCTATAGTAATTATTATATAGAGTTAAGCTATACTTCTCTAAGCTTAGTTTATACTAAAGTAAAGTAGACTAAAGTAGTAGTCTATAAGGTATTATATAGAATAATTAAGTAGAAAAAAGTTATTATTATTAACTAATAGGTAAATAACTCTAATTCTATAAATAATAAAATAACTAGTTAATAATCTATATAAGAGATAAACTATTTAAGTTAACTATAATAAGTATAATAATAAAATCTATCTATTTTTTATACTTATTATAATCTATTTCTATCTTCTAGCTAAGCTTATAGCCTTTTAGATACTTTTAGTATCTCTAGATAGTTAATATCTAGTAAAAACTTAGTATCTTAATATATTTAGTCTTAGTAAAATACTATTTTTATTACGTAATTTAGGCCTTACTTTAGACCTACAATTCTTTTATTATAGTTTTTTAATAGTCTTTCTTCTTATAACCTAAATAAAGAAGTAATTCTTTATTACTTTATAATATTACTTCTCTTTTTAAGCGTATTATCTTAATACTTTAGATTATTATTTTCTTACGCCTAGTTTAGTAGTAGTAGTAGAGGTTTAAGTATTCTTATAGTATAGTAACTTTTTTTCTTTTTTTTTCTTACTTTTTCTAACTATACTTAAGGTTTAGAAATTTTATAGTTTTTATTTTTAATCTTTAACTAAATAAAAGCGTACTTATACTACTTATATTATATAAAAAGGTCTTAAAATAAATTTCTATTATAAGTATTATAATAAGAAGAGGCTACGTTGTTTTATAAAGACAACTTCTAGTTATTATACTAGTTATATTTCTATAAGAGCTAAGTGTAGTCTATTTATCTTAGAGTAAAAGTAGGAGAAAGTATATAAAAAGCGTAAGAAAAAAGAGTTAGTAGTAGCTTATCTAGAGGTGTAGTTATTATAATAGCGTCTAGAGCTTCTTAAGGTAAAGAAACGTAAGTAAAACTTTACTTATTATAACTTTACTATTCTTTCTATTTAGAATCGCACAAAAGAGTAAGTTAAAAAGAATTCTACTCTTAGTATAGACTTTCTAGTAACTAAACTATTACTACTTAGATTATTAACTAACTTAGGCTAGTTATAGGCTAACGCTTTTTTTAACTTTTTTTTATTACTTTTTTTTTAAAAACTTAGTCTTTACTTTCTTAAGTATTTCTAGTAGTACTTAAGTACTTATAACTTATAGTTTATTAAATTTTTTTTTAGCTTTTAAGTATTCTAGCTTTTAAGCTATCTTTACTACTTAACTAAGTATTTCTACTAATATCTAATTTTTTATAAGTCTCTAATTTCTTTAACTTTATACTTATTATTTTTAAGCTCTATATTAGTAGCTAGCTTAGTATTTAGAAGTACTCTTTCTAAAAGTTTTTTATAAAAGATAAAGTAGATATATATACATAGTAGTAGTTAGAGTTTATAGTTTACTATACTTATTTCCTTTAGAATTTTAAATAGTTCTACTTAGAAGTTATTTATTTTCTTATATAGTTATTTAGTTTTTAAGTTCTATTATAATAAAAAAACTTTATCTTTCTTTTTAAAAGTTAGTCTCTTAATTCTTTACTTATTAGCTACTTTAGCTAATATAAAGTTTTTATAAGTAATATTTTTACTTAATTCTTTATATAACTCTTATATTAAGCGTGCTTTATTATCTACGCCTACTACTATACTTTCTATATCTTTTTAATTCTAATAAGTAACTAGCTTATATTTATAATTAGCGTAGTGTAGTAAATACTTTATTATTACTAATTTAGTACTATTATAAGCTAATTATACTATTAGTAAGAGTTTAACTTAGTTATCTTATAGTTTATTAGCGTATATCCTTAGATATTATTTTAATATCTAGTTTATTCTTTCTATCTAACTATCTATTTCTAGGTAGAAGCTAGTTAATAGCTTCTTCTTTACTCTTAGTTTTACTAGAAATATTATTTAATACTTAGATATAAACAGCTTATCTCTATTAAAAATAAATTTTTTAAGTATTTTATACTCTAATATTATTACTTTAGAAACTTTATACGCGTACTTATCTACTATAATAGTTTTTTTTATTAGTATAAACTTTAATACCTTAGTTAATTAATTAATAATTACTAGAATTATATTATAAAGTTATTCTAGTTCTAGTTCTAGTAACTTTAGGAGCTTTACTATAAAGTCTATTATTACGCTACTCTATAGTTAAGTTAGTAGTAGTAAGAGTTATAATAAGCTATAAGGCTTATATTATTATAATCTATACTTAAGAAAAGATAAGAGTAAGCGTAATTACTTTAGAAGATTAAGTAGTATAGTTAAAGAATTATAGCATAGTTAAAGAATTATAGTATAGCAACTATACTAAGGTTACGTAACTACTTAGTAGTAAGCAGATATACGCTAGTCTTAGAATAGGTACTTAGCAGTAAGTAGGACTAGTTAGCTAATAACTATAACTAATACTATATTACTTATTAATAAGCACTTATACACTTAATACTAAGTATAATACTTATTAGTATATAGTTTAGACACTAAACCTTTATAACTTAGTATATTTAACTTTATATAAGACTTTAGTATTTAATTTAAAGATTATACTTTATTTTTATATAAACTTCTTTATAATATTATATTAATTTACTAATTATACTATTATACTAACTCTGTCTATTATACTTACTTATTTTTAAGAACTAACTTTTAGGTTATCTAAAAATAACTTTAATATATATCTCTTAAGCTTATTCTAGTAATAAGCTAAATAGTTACTTAGAATATCCTATACTTTTACTTATAAGCGTAGTATTACAAATACCTTTACTAGTTATCTAACTATTTCTTCTAGTAATATATATTTTTATTCTTTAGACTTATATAGTTCTTTTATAAAACTTAATTTTATTTATAGAAGTATATATATCTAATTTTTTTAAATTATATCTTAGTACTCTTATTTATCTTATAATAGTATATTAGAGCTATTTTCTTTAAGCTTAAACTGCTAGTTAGCAGCTTTCTACTACTATTATTACTATAGTAATTCTACCTACTTAGCTACCTTAGCTACTCTAGCTAGTTCTAGCTAGTTATATTATAGTATACTATTAGGTACTTTACTAAATATAGCTTTATATAGTTCTTTATAGCTTTCTTTATATAAGTTAGATTTTTAACTTAAAGCGTCTACTACTTTATTAAGCGTTTTAGCTTAATAAGTTATTTTAAAGTTAAACTAAGCTAATATCTTAGCTTATTAGACTTACTATTTATTAAGTTTTTTAGTTATTATAAACCTTACTAAGTTCTAATAATTAGTAAAGACTTTAATCTAATATAGTAGTCTTAATAAGTAGACTTCTTACTATTTAAAAGTATTAACTACTTCTAGTAGTTTTTTATTATAAATATTATAATTAAGTTCTACTCTAGAGAACTTCTTTAAATAATAAAATACTAGTTTTTATTTCTTATTTAAGTACTACTATAATAATACAGCTCTAAGTATATAGTCTAACGTATTAGTTTTAACTTATATTTCTCTTCTTAGGTTATATATTTCTAGTATAAGTACTTTAAAGAATATCTACTTAATTTAATTAAAAGCTTCTTAATATTTTTTATTTTATTTAAATTTTATCTCTTTCTTTAAAATTTCTAAAAGAGGTACTATAATCTTTAAGTAATTCCTAATAAACTTCTAGTAATAGTTAATAAATTCTAAAAAGAATTATACGTCCTTAACTATTTTAGGTATTAGCTACTTCTATATAGTTAAGATCTTTTTTAAGTTTATTTTAACTTTCTCTATAAATACTATAAAGCTTAGAAATTCTATTTCTTTAATATAGAATTTATATTTCTTTAGCTATAAGTATAACTTATATTTCTTTAGTTTCCTAAGCACTTTTTTAATATATTCTATATATTCTTTAAGCGTTCTACTAGAGTATACTAGTATATTATCTAAGTACGCTATAATAAAGATTCTTAGGTATTTATAAAGTATATTATTAATAACTAACTAAAATATTACTAGGGCGTTAGTTAACCTAAAAAGTATTACTATATACTTAAATAGTTTATATTTTATCTTAAATACTATTATCTACTTATAACTTTTTTTAATTCTAATTTAGTAAAATTTTTTCTAAATATTAAACTTTATAAACTACTTAGCTCTTTAGAGTTAATCTATAAGCTCTATAATAAGTAGTAGAAGATATTAGTTCTTTTACGTTACGCTATTTAGCTTTCTAAAGTTAATATAAAGTTACTACTTTCTATTAGCTTTCTTTATAAATAGAATAAGTAAGGCTATTAAGCCTAATTCTAGTTAGATAAATCTCTTTTTTAAGTTCTTCTAGATATAATCCTATAGCTTAGTATTATACTTAGGCGCTATTAAATATATTAGTCTTAGGCTTAGCTTTACTTCTTTATTTAAGATAATTTTATAATCTTATTTCTAATAGTTTATTAAATTTATAGCTTTATTTTTTTTAAAAAGTTTTTTAAACTTATTAGTCTAATACTCTCTTAGTATCTC